AGCCCCTGCCTGCCAGCCCTGAGAGTAAGAAGCAATTGGAAAAGATCCCTGCTCTACAGTGTGGTCTCACATGACTCAGAAAAGTTTATAAAACTACAGACTTCTTCACATGCTTTCAGCTGACATTTAAAACATTTTTTATTGAAAGTCTAAATAACAGCAAAGGATGCAATTTCCGGCATTTTTGTTCATAGCCAGGCCCCACATCCTCCCATTCTACCAACAGAAGATTAAAAATAATTGGAGAAGGGCCATGGAGATAGCTCAGTGGACTAAGTGCCTGCTCAGGCAACTGCAGGTTCGATCCCCAGCAACATGTGCTGCGCTGGCCCTGTCCCCAGGTGCTCCAAGCCAGCCACCAAGACCAGGTGTGGTAGCACATGCCTATAATCCCAGCCTGCTTGCCTGGGAGGCTAAAACAGGAGAATCACTACAAGTCTGAGCTGCATAGTGAGACCCTATACCAAATACCTAAAATTTTTTTTAAATTAATAAATAATTGGAAAGAAAACTATGTCTACACTGACTATGTGCAGATTTTTTTCTTGGTCATAATTTCCTAAGTAATTAAGCATAACAATATATATTGTATCAATTTATACTGAGTAATATTTACATCTATAAGTAACCCAGAAAGGCTTTAAATTTTACAGGAAAATGGGTAGATTCTATGCAAGTACCACACCATTTCTACAAGGGATTTGAGCATCTGTGGATTTTGGTTTCCACAAGGGACTAGAACCCATCCCCTGTGGGTACTGAGGGACAACTATATTTGTAAACTATATTTTCATCCAAGCCCTCAGAGCTACAGATCGAGTTCCTTCAGTTTCTGGGAATCGCCCGCTGTGGAGTCCAAGTGGTAAAGCCAGCCCTCGTTTGACAAGCCAATCTGATAAACCAGGCTGAGAAAAATGTTGGTTTCATCTTTAAAATCAAAATAAATGTGCTGACACCCGTCCCTGTGACCACTATCTCACTTTTGAACTCTAATTCATAGATCAGTCGCAGATACTCATGCACGGAGGGCAGCTGCAAAGACAAGGTCTGGCAGAGAGGCCACCGCTCCCTCCTGCTGAGGTTGCGGCTCTGCTCCTGCCCTCTGCAGAAGCTGCGCCTCGCCGTTCCTCTGCACAGCACCCTGGGCTTTCCACGCCCCACAGCATCTAGGATGAGCCGCCTGTCTGCTTCCAATGGCAGACAGAAAAGAGACCCCCAGGCTGTCTCTGGCCTGTTCTCAGGAATAAGACCTACAGGCTTATGGATCTGGAGGTTGTCTCTCAAACCTCTGTGTTGCGTCACCTCTGAAATTATTTTTTTTTCTTTTTTAATCTTTTAAATTTATTTATTTATTTAGTACAGGGTCTTGTTGCACAGCATGTTCTCTCGGTGTTCCTCCTATCTCAGCTCCTCAGCGCTCAGATTACAGGCATGCACCACCACATTCACTTTTGGTGGCCAGCCTGGGGCGGCACGGCATGCATGCAGTATCAGGGATTGAACGTAGGCCTTGTGCTTACCTCTGAAATTTTTTGTGTGGCCATCCAGGGGCCTGTACCTAGTCTGAGAGCCCTGTCCCAAGGTGTTGAGACAAAGGGCAGTTAAGAGGAGAGAATAGGGCTGGTGAGATGGCTCAGTGGTCTAAAGCACCTACTTAGAACAAGCTTAGCAAAGTACAGGGACCGCGGTTCAATCCCCAGCACCACATGTCAGCCAGCCCCGCCCCCTGGTGGGCTGAGCTGGCCACACACACACACACACACACACACACACATAAATAAAAAAATTAAAAAAAAAGAGGAGAGAATAGTACAAAGCAAGAATCTATCTAAAAAAAAAAGGAGCAGCCAGGTGTGCTGGTGCACTCCTGTAATCCCAGCACTCCAGAGGCTGAGACAGGAGGATCGTCGTGAGTTTGAGGCCAGCCAGGGCTACATAATGAGCTCAAAGCCAGTGTGAACATCACAGCAAGAACCTGACCCAGAGAGAGAGAGAGAGAGAGAGAGAGAGAGAGAGAGAGAGAGAGAGAGAGAGAAAGGCAAGGCAAGGCAAGGCAAGGCAAGGCAAGGCAAGGCAAAAATAACAATAAAAAAAAGTGGAGATGGGGCTACTTGGGGAGGGGCTGAAGAGAGGAGCCCCAGTGTGTACTGCTGCAGGCTGGGGGAGGACATACAGGTGTGGCGTGTGCATACATGTGGGTAGGTGTCACCATTCACCTACTCATAGGGGAAAGGTTAGCCTGTACCCCATGACTCTGCTTGCCCCCACCTTGGCATGGGCCATGTGGCTGCTCCCTGCTGCTGGGCTTCAGCTTACTCTGGCCCAGAGTCCTTCTGAATGCACATCAGGCTGTGTCTCTCAGCCTGGCTGTTGCTTCTGTCTGTGTCCTCTTAGTTAGATTTTTCAGGTTTATGAAAGAAAAGCACACATCAAGATTCCTCAAATCACCAGGCATGATGGTGCATGTCTGTAATCCCAGCACTCAGGAGGCTGAGGCAGGAAGATTGCTGAGTCTGAGGCTACCCTGGGCTACAAAGTGAGCTTAAGGACAGGCTAAACTGCATAGCAAAAACCTGTCTCAGAAAGAGCCCCCCAAAAAAAAATCCCTCAAATCTCAGTGAGTCTCCTATACAGCTGAGCTGAAAAACTTATAGGGAAGGAGTGACAGCTGCGCAGCCATGACTGAGCACGCCTCCTGCTGACCCACCTCCCAGCCTACGGGGGTGGCTGAAGCCCCAGGCCTCAAGCCCCACGCTGTCCCCCTCCTTCCACGGCCGTCCTTCAAGCCCAGTTCCCATCACTCCTCTACACAGGGGACTCAGCAGGGCCAGAGCTGGGCACAAGACCCCAGGGAGACCTCACCCCACTGTGAGGCCAGGCCCAGGGTCCAGGACCAGAGACTTGCTCCTTACCTGTCTGAAGCAAACCAGCGTTGCTGTCACTGATGTGGAAAAACTTCTGTATGTCCAGCAGCACTCCTAAGGATGGAGGACAGCATTAGAGAAATGAGCAGCTCCCTCCAAGTTCAGGACAAGGCCACAGCTGGCCACAGACCACAGCAGGAGGCAATGGGGCCCACTCTTTCTTCCTCTTTCTCCCACACATTTGTATAGCCACATACACACACACACACACACACACACACACACACACACACACACGAAACAAGCATGCAGAGCAACAATTGCATACCAGGCACACACAGTTCAAGCACCCAGACATACATACACACACATTTTCATGCAAGCCTGCCCCAGCACACAGGAAGATTCACATACCTCGGTACAAACAGGTATTCCCAGAAAACACACTTGCAGAGACATGGGTACACACATGTGCACGCACACACACAGGAACCTACCCTGAGATGGACACACAAAGACACACCAATGCTTACATGCATATGCACACACTGAGGGCTGCCCTTCACACTGTAGTCTAAGTGACAGGCAGTTCCCTGTTGCTACACAGTGAGCTCTGTGAAGGTGGAAGTCCCAGCGTGCAACAGGCAGCCATACTCATGCGTGAAGCCCAGAAATGCATAGACGCATACAAATGCATACATGCAAATCCACATGTGCCCTGCTCTGCACGCAGACACGCATAATCATGGTCTGCCAGAGGCTTGGGCACACAGATGACAGCATGCACACACAGAGCGACCCTGGGTCGCTTTCCTGAGGGTGGCAGGTTCCAACTGCACACTAGCTAGGTTTCAGAAGTTCCTCCAAGATCTTTGTTTTGTTTTGTTTTACTTAACTTTTTGTTTTTTTGAAACAGGTCTCACTTTGTAATTCAGCTGTCTTTGAGCTCACTATAATGCCCAGGCTGGGCTCAAATTTGAAGTGATTTTCCTGCCTCAGTCTCCCAATGCTGGGATTACAGTTGTGTGTCACCTGAGTGGAAGTAGCCCCTCAGACACTAGGCTCTGCTCCTGATATATCCTAGCCCCCCACGGGTATCTGAGAAAAGGGAAGATCTCTGGCCTGTGCTCATGTGATCCATGTGGCTCTGGCCCTGTCATTATGAAGAATGTGTTAGTCAGTTTTGTGTTGCTGCAACAAAATAACTGAGACTGGAAACTTTTTTTTTTTTTTTTTTTTGGCAAAACTGGGGATTGAACTCAGGCCCTTGCACTTGCCAGGGAAGCACTTATTCTAATGAGCCATCTCCCCAGCCCCTGGAAACATTATTTTTAAAAAGTTTATTTAGCTCACATTTCTGGAAGCTCAGGAGCATGGCAGAAGCCTCTGTTCCACTCCGATGAGGGCCTCATGGCAGATGGCATTGATGGCAGGAACACTTTGAGAATAATGAGTGGAGTGTGTGGAAGAGAGATTCAGGGAAAGGCACCAGGCTCGCTCACAACTGCCCATTCTCTTGTGAGCTAATCCAGTTTCGCTGGCCCTGGGCCACTCCCGTGAGGCAGTATTAATCCATCCATGAGTGTTCTGCCTCAATATTGCCACCCTGGGGTTCCCTGGTGCAGGCACTTTGGGGGGACAAGCCATGTACACAGCCCAGCAAAGATCATCATCACTGTCATTGAATCATGAGATGTGCAGCTGTCACCCTAAGAGGTGGCAGCTATCACTGACCTCGTGATACAGATGAGGAGCAACTATTACTGTCTCTGCAGGACTAAAATGAAAGAGCTAGGATGGGCCAGGAGCTCCCTGCTCTTCTACTCAGCTTCACAAGACAGGAGCAGAGTCCCCACGGCCCCGCAGAAACACCCACACCAAGCAGTTCCCCATCTGTAACTCTCAGCGCTGCCGCAGGCAAAGAGAACTGGGGATCAGAGGCGACAAGCCAGGGAGCTTTACTTCAGCACCAAGGTCGGGCCCAGCTGCTACAGCACCCAGGTGAACAAGCCACTGTCTCTATTTTTCCCCCTTTAAGGACACAAAGAATACACAGTCATTGGGGAGGAAAAAATAGGTGACAGAGGGAACCAAATAAGCAGCTAACTAAAGAGCCCCAGTACATGTGCCTGTCTTCCACTTTCAGGAATAAGCTCCCCCGTGCTTTCTCTTCCTGGGACCCTCCCAGGCTTGTGGTGCAGCACGAACTGACCAAAGGCCAAGAGTGAACTCACCCTCTTTTACCTGCACCCAGCCCTCACATGAGCTGTTTCCAGCAAGAGAATGTTGGCTTCTGCACAGAACGCCTGTCCCCAGCAGTCCTCGGGGACTCAGCATGGTTGTGCCCCTCCAAACCTCTGTATGTACATTGACCATGGCCAGAGGATGTCCCAAAGGGCAAGGGACTCCAACAGGCAGGGCTCAGGATCTGGTGGCCCAGCCAGGGGCTCCAAGATCTGTGGAGGGAGAACCAGTAACCCCCTTCCCTGGCTCAGGGAACTGATGCTGTCTGCTCCCCTGTGCCCCTACCCCCTACCCACCCCCTTGTGACTTCAGCCCACTCTCAGCTTTGACATGACTCCCTGCAGTAATTTGCAAACTGACCTCTTGACTCATTTTGCCTCCATTCTAGGATTCAAATACTGTCATATTCTCTCCACTTAAAAAATCGTCCTGGCCTGTCATGGTAGCACAGGCCTGTAATCTCTGCACCTGGGAGGCTGAGGCAGAAGGATCAATTTGAGTTCAAGTGGCAAAGTGAGTTCAAGACCAGCCTGAACTGCATAGTAAGACCCTGTCTCGGACCTCCCCCACCAAAAAAAACTGTTCTACCCTTGCCTAGCTTATTCAAGGACATGGGTTCAATTCCCCACAATAAAAAAAATTATTTCCCATGGCTTTTTTGTGTCCAGGGAAAAGTCCAGGCTCCCAAGTTTCCATATGAAGCCCATGTTCTCATCCTAGTTGTCCCTTTTGAGATGCCTTCCTGCACCCTCTCCTCTCAGCATCCCTGAGCAGTGGGGCACTTTCAGGCCACATCCCCTCACTGTCCTCCTCTCCCCTGATGCCTTTCTTCCCCACCCTCTTGGTACTGGGTATCAAACCCAAAGGCACTGTACTGCAAAGCTGCCTCCTTGGCTCCCAGCCCCAGCCCTTTGTTTTGTTTTATCTTTTGAAAGAGGGTCCTGCTCAGTTTCCCAGGTAGTACTTGAACTTGCAGTGCTTCTGCCTCTGCTCCCCAGAGTGCTAGGATTACAACCACGGGCTACCATATCTGGTTCTTTCCAACTTCTCAACCTTCAAGGGCCGAACAAAATGCCCTTATCTGTGAATTCCTCGGAAGCCCTAAGTCACCGGTCCTCAGCGCTGCCCACCAGTAAGCACACACCCCACTCTGTCTTACAGTAGAGAGACTTGTTTGTGTCCCCTGTATCCCTCTGAATTCCTCCAAGACCAAGACCAGGTCTCTGGGGGTTTGCGGACCCCAGAGTCTCATCTGCTCCATGTCTCCACTCTGGTGCATCAAGCTAGTCACCGCCGAATCATCATCCCAGTCTGGAGTTCTCTAGCCTGGCCTGTGCCTCCACTGGCTGACCACATCTCTCTGCCTTGCAGGGCTGCTGTCATGCGCCTCTCCCATGAGATGGTCACTCCTGCACTCAGGAGCCGGGGGGCTGAGTTCCTCCCAGGTGCCTAGAGGCCCAGCAGCGGCTCCCACCTGCAGTTTGTGCTCAGTGTTTAATGGATGCTTGAGGAGAGAGCGACAGACAGACAGACAGAGAGACAGAGACAGAGAGACAAAGACAGAGAGACAAAGAGACAGACAGAGAGAAAGACTGGCTTTTGGATGAATGAATGTGTCAGTGAATGAATGACCAAAGAAAAACAAGTTGAGTCCCTGACACTGTGGGATGAGTGAATGTAGAACCCCAGAAGACAGAACTAGGTTGTTCCTGGGGCAGACAAGAAGCAAGGCAGACTTCCTGTCTCAAAACAGATCCAGGGGCCAGCCTGACAGCTCAGGGGACTAAAGCGCCCCGCTTAGGTAGAGGGCAGCGGCAGAGCTTTGATCCCCAGTTTGCCGTGCCGGCCCCGGCCCCGCCCCCAGGGCGCTCTGAGACAACAGTGATTGAGACTGGGCGTGGGTGCATGTGCCTGTAATCCCGGCAAGTGGGAAGCTGAACACAGGAGAATCACTACAAGTCTGATCTACGCAGTGAAACCCTGTAGACCTGGCCATAAATTAAAAAATAAAGGGGCTGGGGAGATAGCTCAGTAGTATAAGTGCTTGCTTGCCAAGCACAAGGGGGCCTGAGTTCAATCCCTAGTATCTAAAAAAAAAAAAAAAAAAAAAAGCTGAGTTCAATCCCCGGTTCTTCCAAAATAAAATAAAATAAAATAAAAGGCCTAAAAGGAGTCACTGTCACCTGGGAGCTGAGCCAAGCTGCTCTGTCCTCCAAAACCTCAATCCAGCCGTTCCACCGAGAGGCTTGAGGCCTTATTTGCAAAGCCCTGTCCTCCCTGCCGGCCTCCCCCGCTGCCCACCACTCCCCACATCCCTGTCCCAGTGCTCTCTTGTGCTCCCTCCTGGTCCTCAGTGGGGAACCACGCCTCCTTCACACAGCATGGCTGGAAATCTGGAAATCACCTCCAAGGATGTGAATGCCAGACACGTGCCCTAAGAGAAGAAAGCATGCTGCTGGAGGGAAGGCCACCACCAGCCGGCGGAGCAGATCAGTGGGCAGTGCCCAAGATAGCCGCCTGTCTCACCTGCAATGATGAACCAGTTCATGTAGTTCAGGAGGTTGATGTAGCACAGAACGGCAGCAGCCACATAAGCTCGCCAGCGAGGCAGGCGCCAGGCATTGTGCACGGAAGAAGGGACACCCTGACCCGAGGCCAGGGCCTCAGAGTGCCTGCCTGCCCCCAGGGACTGGCTCTGCAGCTCTCTTTGCCCAGGAGTCAGGTGGCGTGTGGACATCCTCCCAGCCACCCCAGTCTGCAGCTCCTGTCCCCATCCAGGGACTGAATGAGGATGCACAACCAGCTCACACACCACCAGCTCAGCGCAGTCACTTCCTGCGGGCTCCCGTCCTCCCGACCTCACAGCAGTGCTGCTGACTGTTAGGCATCTTATCTCCACTTCCTGCCAAGCCCATCAGGAGTTCATGTGCGATTTCACCATCCTCCATCTCCAGGGCCCTCAGCGGGGAACAGAGCTCCTGGGAACAGGTGCCTCCTGTGCTGATGACCAGGGTGACTTTGTGGTCCCCTGGATGGAGGCTGTGGCCGCAATAGGGAGGGGAAGCTCCTGGGACAGGAACTGAGTGAGTCTCCCCAACCTCGCTCACCGCGAGCCAGCCTGGCTGCCCTCACAGGACATGGACTTTGAGCCTGGGATTTGAACCTGAGTCTGTTCCAGGGGGCTGGATGTTAGACAGGAAAGCAGCATTGGGCCAGAAGGAAGGGAAAGCTGCTCATTTCTGCTGCTCTGGCTTGGGGAATGAAGACATCAGGGGGCCAACTGCAGAGATGGCCTGCAATCAAAGCTCATCTGGATGGCGAGGTGTGGAGGGACCATTCCGGTGAAGGGTGGGATGAAAGCATGGGCTGTGGGTGTCTCTTTAGATTGGCTGCTAAGGTGGGCCTGGCATATAGCTCAAAGGCACAGCATCTTCCTGGTAAGTGCAAGGTCATGAGTTTGATTCCTGTTTTTTTTTTTTAAAAAAAAAAGCACATATGATCTTTGGCCAGGCATGGTGGTACACTCCTGTAATCTCAGCACTCAAGAGGCTGAGGCAGGAGGATTGCTGCAAACGCGAGGCTTGCCTGGGCTACAAAGTGAATTCAAGACCAGCCTGAATTGTAGAGTGAGACCCTGTTTCAAAAAAACAAAAAAGAAAAGAAAAGAAAAAGACTGTCTGCTAGTAGTAAGGGGAAAACAAGTAGCTAAGCAATAGAAGCAGGCATCTTGACAGAGCTTAAAACATTACCACCTACGGCTGGCCAGATAGCTCAGTGGACTAAAGTGCCTGCGTAGGTAGGCACAGCAACCAAGGTTGGATCCCAGCATGCTGTGCTCACTCTGCCCCCAGGGCACGCTGAGACAGCAAATGAGACTGGGTGTGGTGGCACACACCTGTAATCCCAGCACTTGGGAGGCTGAAAACAGAAGGATCACTATGAGTCTGATCTGTATAGTGAGACCCTGTAGACCCTGTACTAAATACACTAAAAAAAAAAAAAAAAATCACCACCTATGGGGCAAATGGCATCATGCACCTCTGGATGTAAAGTCCTCCAAGGGTCACAGTGTGTGCTCCAGCCAGTAATGCATAATCTGAATCTAGCCCTAAGAAAAGAGCAGACAAACCCAAGCTGGGGATGTGGCTCAGTGGTAGAGCTCAAGTGCCTAGCCTGTATGAGCCCCTGTTCAATCCTCAGCACCAATAGGAAAAAAAAAAAAAGTCAAAATCGAAAAAGAATCAGAAAGACTAAAGGCCTATTTCAGAGTAAAGGAGATGACATAGACATGACATGAGACTGGAGCCCAGATTCTGTGCTGGAGCCCATGTATGTTACCATGATAAAATTGGAGGGCAGATTGCAGATTACAGGAAGAAAGATTTCACATCATCATCAAATTAACTGGTCAAAGTTGCTGCTATGATGTCTCTCGGGTAGATGGTTGTTCAAAAAGAAGGGGGTGGTGAATGAAAGCAAGAGACAGGAAAAGGAATATTGTGGGAATGTCCTGATTCAAGGTTGTATATGGTTAGACTTACGTGTAAACATAAGAAGTATATAATTCTTTATGCCTATTTTTAAAATATATTCTAATTTTTAAATGTTTCCTGTCATATTCTGT